ATGTAAACGAGTTGAGTCATTATTAAAGGAATTAAGGGAGCTAATATTGGCTTTTTGGTGGATTCAATTTCTTAACGCAATTCAGGTGTTATTAAACGCTTGTTAATTTTTTGTTCTTATTAATTCTAAGTGTAAGTTTTAGGTGATAGACAATAGTTTTTTGTACTTTTATCCATCATTATCTTCAAATTAATTTAAAATATATAGTGAACGTTGAAAATTAATTATTTTTACCAAGAATTTATATCGATATAGTACCATTACTCACCTATCTATTAATATGTATTATTACAATAAATCAACTTTATTAAAAAATGTACAAAATATCTTTTTTTAATATTTGATAATAATATTAATTAGAAAATTGTAATTATACATAATATAATATAAAGATGTACAACTATAATAGATATAATAAGACATATGACCAAAAAAAAGTTATATACTTAGTATTATGCATTTTTTTTTAACAAATTTAAAAGTTATATATATATATATATATAATATTAAAGTAAGAAAATATTAAATCTGATACATAATATTAAAAATATAATTAAGTTGTAATACTTACTAATATATATGAAAGAAGTAATAACTAAAAATGTTATGATTAATAAATATAAAACTTTTAAAACTTGTACATATCGATGTAAACGAGCCGATTGTTACTTTTTTCGTGCTTATTAATTATAGGTATAAGTTTTAGGTTATTGACAATAGTTATTTGTACTTTAATCTATGTAAGTAAGAGATTTTAATTTTTTTAAAAATAAATTGATTATTGTAAATTTAAATAATTTTTTATTTGTTATTAGCTTTTTTAATATAATATATAAATATTATATTGCATATACAAATAATACTTATTCCATTAATATATAGGGAAAGTAATTCAATTAATTAATAGGTAATCTCAACATAAAATAACGAGTGACTTGTAAGAAAATTATATGGACTAAAAAGTAGATTTTTTAATATATTTTAAAAGAAAAATTATAAACATAATTAATAAATAAAAAATTACTACATATACATTTTAATGATTATGAAAGAATACAAAAATTCCATATTATAATGAAAAATCCAACAGTAAGGTATTCCACGAAAATACCAACAGATATTTCATTGGTATAGTTTCTATTGAAAAGATTCACTGGATATTCCAATGGTGAGTAAATTAAATTACATTGAAATTTTTGTGGATTTAATATCACAATTACTAATATTTATTTTTGTATGAATTTATGTTGGATTTTTTTTTCGGCCATATTTCAACCATTAAAAAAATTGTCACTGAAATTCGGAAAAACAGTGAAAGTTCCATCGAAAAACTAGCTGCAGTGGCGAATCCAAAATAATTTCATGTTAAGAGCATTATCTAATTAATACAAAAAGTATTGCATCAAAACAAGATAATTTCATTACAATTTATAAAGTATATTATTCTTAATTTCTCAACTTTCTCATATGTAATACTTTTTTTAACACATCAATACAATCACAATAAGTTCAATAATATTAAAATAAAAAAAGCATAGTTTTTCTCAATTCGACATAAGAAAATCATAAAAAAATAATACATTTTTCAAAATCTTTTTATGAACAAAAATTTTATGTTGTAGTATAGTTGACTCGACAATATAATAGATGATTGTATAAATTACGAATATATAACTAGAATTCTACATACACTTAAAAAAGACTTAAAATATATTTTCTAAAATTAGATAAAAATTATGTCGCAAAAGGGAGATAATAAGATATCATCAAGAATAAAAAGAAAAGAGAGAAATAGGGCGTAAAATTGTAAACTTTGATATCATATTTTCTTTAGTTGGGATACCGCATTGATGTTATAATTTTAATAACGTTATGAGTTGAATTAAATTATAATTGGTTGAGTTGTAAATTAATCATTATTTGTCTTTATTCTTTTAATTTTATTTTCTAAATAGAGGACATGATTAAAATATGAAAAATATTCCCATAATGTTTGTTAGATATCTTATGCTATTTGTTTTGGGATGATGCCAGTTTCGGGACTATTGGACAAACATGGATCTGCACATGATTGCAACAAAATATTTTTGTTATAATTTTCATTGAAAAATTCAAACGAAAATTGTAACATTGAAATATTCGTTAGAATTGTTCTCGAAATTTCGCTGTAATATGTTTTCATTGGAATTTCATCATTTTCTTGTAGTAAAAGTATGACTCCAAATCAAACTAAAAAATTCGCACTATATATAATATTGTGTGCAGTTAATTGTTTTGAAAATTATAAATAATGATACATAATATAACATATTTAATGTAATTATCATTTAATTTATGATAATTAGTAATTAAAAAATACTTTTAAGTTGAAAAGTCCTTAAATATGTTATTAGTATTATGATAATTAAAGAAGAGGCCAGAATGATGTTCTACAGAAAAGGTAATATTAATACTAAACAAGATGTAAAGATGATGTTCTACGTAATAAAAAGATAAAACTACATAATGAGAAAACTTATAACTGACATTCCACTCAAAAATAAAAAAAAAAGATGATAAAATTAATAAATGTCATATATCAATTGGAGCTAGCGAATGATAAATGTAAAATATACTTGAGATGCACATTTATAAAAAATATACTTATTTTTTTGTCTTAGAAATCGGTATGTTAGTCATAATTTTTTAGTTAAAAAATTAGTTAATTTACACCATTAAATTTCTTAATTTTGAAATACTTATTTTTTTTTGTTACCCTTTATATGTAATATATCATATCATTTCTTTCCTATGATATTTGATTTTACCAATGTTTTGTTAATAAAATAAAAATAATATAATTGTATATATATATACCAATACCAATTTAAAATAATAAATAGACCTAAAGGAATCTTATAAAATAATTATAGATCCATGTTAAATTAATTTTATTAATTATAAAATAATATTAGATAAACTTGTGGCATATTTTTCTGACATAGATTTGAAATATTCATACTAAGGACAAAGTCAACTAGATGTAATTGTACAACTATTACCAATATTAAATATGTGAATTAAAACAAAAAAAATAAATAAATCAGTTGTATGTTAAACTATTATTCAATTATTGCTTGAAATGGAACACCATAATGGTTGTAAAAAGTATTTTTGTGAATATAAACATGAATTAGTTACTTAATATTTTATCAGAACATGGAAATAAATTCAAAACCTTTTAATATTATAAACAATATAAAACTACATTTTTATCAAGTATATTATTACTATCAAACACGTAAAAAGAATGCATTGCATATAATATTCTCTAATTCTTTCAAGAAATAAAATATTATTTGTGAATAAAAAAAACAAATAAAAAACAAGTAAACCAATAGTAATGCAATGAGGAAAAGAAAAATTCTGAATTTTTTTACAAAAGTATGAATACTAATATCAAGAAACAAAAAATCTTTTAAAATTACTACTTTTTTTGTTGCTAGCATTTAAGTATATATTCTCTATAAGAAATTAGTTCTCATAAATAATGATTCGATATTATCATAAAATAAACCACAAACTTTAATAATGACTTCATAATAATAAAGTTAACAAATGACTAAGAGTATCATAATATAGTATAATTCAAATTCTTCTCATCTGAAATATTTTACTTCTAAATATTGTCCCATTGTTTTGTTTTGTTTTGTTATTATTGAAGAATCAATGAAGGATCTTTATCTTGAATTTTTTAAGAATTAGTTATGATACAAACGCAATAAATGTTATTAGACACATAAATATTGCAAATCTGAAAGAATATGGAAGATATCTATCTTCCAAATTAATAACACTGAAAAGGGAATGTTTAATACTGATTAAAATATTTTTGAATGTTGAATAAGTTGTCACTTTTTGATAAGAATTTACAATCATAATTGTGTATTGTGCTCGATCATACACGCATTTGTTTTAGAGTACATATTTTCATGTAATGTGTGATGATTTCAAAAAAATAATTTAGCATCTTCATAGAAGTACATGATTTTGAAAAATCAAATTTTATTTAGAGATGAAATTCGTTCCCACCTCATGGGGTAAGTACTAATTTGTCTATGTGGAAAGAGAGAGAGAGAGAGAGAGAGAGAGAGAGAGAGAGAGAGAGAGAGAGAGATCATGGGGTAAGTACTAATTTGTCTATGTGGAGAGAGAGAGAGAGAGAGAGAGAGAAATGTAGTAGTTTATACATTGATTAAAAGAAATATCAAGAATTTTAATGACACAAATATCAAGAAATTTAATGATACAATTGTTTATTTCATAGAGATACTTATGAACTATTAGTAGAAATACCTTATAATGATCATACAATCATAAAGTTTGACTATATATTTGGCTAAAGTATTTCTAAGTGTTGAATAAAACAGACGTTTTGCAAAATTAATTAAGAAGAATTTCGTAATACTATTGATGTATTAGTATTCAACGAGTATGAATGTTTCTTATGAGAACATCAAAACCAAAATAAAAGAAAATGACTCTTGAATCTAACATAAATAAATAAAAGAACTCATGCATCTATAATATACATTATGTCTTTATTTAGTCATTTATTGTTTTTCATTAGGAACTCATTTTTTATATATTTTTGTTGGAGTTGTAATATGATATTTAAATCTTTTTATATTACGACAACATTTTTATATTTAAAATAAAATGCATGAAAAGTTTATTTATTCTATATTTTATTTTATTCTTGCAGTCATATGTGTAATAAATTAATTAATTTATCTTACTAAATTTAATCGGTAAAAAGCATTCGTCGCCACGTGCATCGCACGTGCACTTTACTAGTATCCTTAAAAAGTCGTCCAAGAAAAGGTAAGCCAGACTCTCTACAAATACCAAAGCCCCGAATGATTTGTTTCGTACCAAAAAAAATATAATTGTAGAAGCAAGAAATAATTAGCAAGAGTAGAGTGACACATATCCCATCCCTCGGTTGTAATTAGAAAACAATGTCCTCTTTCAGTGTCTGCTGGCTTCTCTTCCTCCTCCTCCTCCCAATTTTGACGTTGTATCCATCTTGTTGGGCCAGTTCCAACTCCATCACCCTCTCCCTCACCACCCAATCCCATGATCACCACTCTGAAAACAACAGCCATTATCGGCTCAGCCTTATGGCCCAGGCGTCCATTCAAAGGGCCCGACACTTAAAATGTTCCACCTCCGCCAGTACGCCCCTCTTCGCCAATGATAACGAATACTCCACCACCCTCGGATTCGGAACACCGCAGCAACCCCTGGACTTCATACTGGACACCGGAAGTAACCTCGTGTGGTTCCCGTGCGACAACTACACGTGCACCGATTGCGATGCCACCAACATCCCCACCTTCAACCCAAAATTATCATCGTCCTCGAGAAACGTCAGCTGCAGCACCCCCCAACTGAAACGGATCTTTCCCGATGATCCACTCTGCACGTCCTGTTGGAACCACCCGACCTCCAACTGCTCCAAACATAACATTCCCTACAAAATCAGGTACGGGACGGGCAGTGGCGAAACTAGAATCCGAATAAAGGGATGGCCGATTTTTACCTTCAAACTATGCTCGAAATTAATTAAAAAGGATAGTCCAGATTTATACCTCCTCTCGAATAGACGAGAAACTGAAAGAATCGAGAAAAATGAAGCCTCGAACGATCGAACTCGTCCTCGACAATTCGCTTATTTTTAATATTTATACATCAACTTCAGGTTCCTCTAAACAAATGCTCGGAGCTCCGAAACACTCAATAAATGGCTCGAATGGCATCGTGCCAATAAGGTCTGCACGTCCCAACTCGATTTTCAGCAAACCGAAATCTCACGCGACCTTGCGGGGCGGACGTAAACGGCTTTTTATTTATTTTTCTAATTTGTGCACTCCAACTCGAGCTTCTCAAAATAAATGCTCGGGACCTCGAATTGCAAAATAAACACCACGAACGGCTTCTACTCTTCTCGTACTTTCTAGAAAGCACTCCCATTAAATTTCGGTGCGCCTAACGAGGGCCGACGGGTTCTCGAAGTCGGGACATGAAAATGATGCTTAAATGACCTTGCTGCCATTTTTCTCGCCGGAAAAATGTGATGAGCCACACTCCCTTTGGTCCTTAACTGGGGGGATGGAGGGCATGTGAATGTGATGAGCCACACTCCCTTTGCCCAGAACCCAAACATATCCTCTCACCCTGCATACCTAGTCTACTATTACCTCAACCTACTCGAGATCCACGTCCGTAGTGTCAAAGTCAACATTCCGATCAAAGACCTCGTGCCGAATGCCAATGGATATGGCGGCACGATCGTGGATTCGGGCACCACCTTAACTATCATGGAGAAATCGGTGTTTGATCCAATCGCGCATGAGCTTAACAAGCAATTATTGGGAAAGAGGTACACTAGGTCAAAAGAGGAGGAAGCGGCGACTGGATTGGAGCTCTGTTATAGTGTTCCTCGCAAGGCTAACATATCTGATTTGCCAGCTTTAACTTTCGTTTTCGCTGGCTCAGCCCAGATGGTTATGCCCTTTGAAAATTCCTTTTTTTACGATAAGGAGTCGGCTGCGATTTGCTCAACCATGATATCGTATGATGCTGCAGTTGGAGGGAAGACTCTTGGACCTGCGATGATCTTTGGTAATTACATGCAGCAGAATTTTCACATGGAGTTCGACTTGCTCAATAATCAGCTTGGTTTCTACCCTACCGATTGCACGCGTGGTTAACAAATTTATGGGGCCGGCCTTCTATACTTATATATCTATTTTAACTAGGTGTGTGTGTCTTTTGTTGAGAATAAGGCATCGTTGGCCACAGTTGTTGAGAAATAATTGCTAGAGCAAAGAGTAATGTTCGTAGATGTTGTCAGTCTCCATGTTTTTCTTTAAATCCCGTTGAGCTGTGTAAAAGTGCAAATTAATTTCCAGTACCTTATTATATAGATTGGCCCGTATTAATAATGGTGTAATTATCAATAATGTTTCATTTCTTATATCGTTCTTTAATCAGAAATCAGTAATATTATTCAATGAATCAGGACGGAAAATAAACACACGAGTATGCTTCTCAGTTTGTTAGCAATCAAATTAATTAAGCTGCAAGGAATATATACAGTTGTGGTTTGGAACCCCTTAATTAATGAATTCAAATCCCTCTGACTGCTCCCCCATCAGACAACGTCTCAGCTTCGAAACCCCTTATACTAGCTTAGTTTGTGAACATGAAGCTTTTAATCCAGTCCAACCGTTTTCGTTTGTATTCTCCGATGATCATGTGTTGGTGGACTTGGTCGGCGGTGGTAAGCAGTATTGCCGACCTCAATGCATTAATAGTTATATGAAAGCTTCGTTTTTAACATTGGCCATTTTATTTTTATGTAAGAACCATTGAAGCTACCATCTGGGCAGGTCAAATATTAAAGTTTTAGCATTTTTATATTAATTCAATTGAAGAAAAGGTTCAGTAATTTGGGAGTTCATCAGCTAAAATTATGACTTTTGTTCAAATAAGATTAAAAAATGGAAGAAAACAATGTGGAATACAATTAATTTTTAGTTGGCATAATAATATCGGTAAACAATGCAAAAATACTCTTATTCCCTAACCCCTATGAGTTTAGCCAACCATCTCCATGTATTTTTTACCAAGAAAAAAACTTCATTAGGTAAAAATGAGTAATTTTCTTAGAAATTGGACCTTGGAACAAAGTCTTCAATGTAGCCCTCCCGACACAGTTGGACCTTGATAGTTTTCTCTTACTGACTCGTCTCTCACTGTTACGATGATAGCAGTAAAGTAAGCAATGATTTAGGCCCCGGGAAGGCAAGGCGACGGAAGAGACAAAATGATCCATTATTTTCCACTGCCGAGGACCCGAATATATCCCATCTCGTTTTTAAGTTATATCACTATTACGTCGACCTACAGAACATCCAAGTTAGCCAAGTCAAAACAAAATGATCCACTAGACTCCATTTCCGAGGACCTGAATGTATCCCATCTCATTTTTTAGTTACACTATTACGACGACCTACAAGACTTCCAAGTTAGCCAGGTCAAAGTAAAAATTCCAGATAAATACTTGGTGATCGATGTCGGTGACAATGGTGGAAAAAGCCATTTCCTGCGGATAAAGGGAGGAAAGTCTATTGAAAGAAGGAATGTGAACAGAGTTAATTTGATTGAGGGGGGAAAGTTTATTGAAAGAAGGAATGTGAACATAGTTAATTTGATTGTAAGCCATTTTTTAGCTACACGTAATGTGATTGAAAGTCTAATTTTATAAGTTAAAATCATGTGTAAGGAGTTATGGGACTTGTTGTATTTATAAACTGCAACCGAGACTCAAAGAATGTGCGTGCTAACCCAAGTGTGAACAACAAGAAAGGTTGGTCGGAGCTAAGTTCCAATTTTAGTTGACAAAGCACAAATGGCGAATATAAAAGTCATAATCATTCTAAGCGCATTTGGTTGGCTGATATAAGCCAGTTTAACCTAAGAATTAAGAGTGGTTACCTAAAGATTCGAACTTTACACTAAAGATTTGAACTTTATCTTGCATGGAGTCTCCAATACTCAAGCAAAAAATGAAAACAAAGAGAAAACAAGATATATCTAACATAACTAGAAGATAAAGTTGACCATTCAATTACGAAATAACCGACCGTCTACCAAAGTCTCGATTTTTACCTTGAAATATTTAAACTTTAACCAACTAATCACACTAAATAAGAAAAACAAGATAAAAGCTATCAACTTTAATGAGAACCGAATCTGTCCTACTAAATTACGACCAAGACACCACATTTACCTCACAACTCTGTAAGCAAAAATGGAGCAAATACGAAGTAATTAATCCCAAACTAGGTACTCAAAATTTTGAGTTACAATTACTTCGTTCCCCATTTTATTGCTTTGTTTACATCCACGAATTTAAAATCTAGCATCCATTGATTAATTTAGTTACTGATAATATAATTAATCGACTTCTCGAATCTAAAAATAGTACCACTCAATTCTTAAAATTAATCTAAAAATTAATCCGCCGGTCAGGCTTGACATAATTATCCTTCTTAAGTTTATTTCGGGGACATCATCAAACTTTTCTCCCAGGATACAGTGACCGTAAATAATATTAAAAACACATCATGCAACCGATATTACTTAACAGAATATCGAGTATGTCGACACACCAAAATAATTCTCATCCATGATAAATCAAATAAGTAAGTGTTGACTACATATGCCTGCATATAGTCTTTAGGGTTAAGAATACGCAACAAATAATGATGTATAGATTATTTACTTGGTTAGTATAAAATAATCTTTACTTGTTGTGGGTCATTTAAAACTTCCGATATGTACTAGTGTAATCCATTAGTTTAAGATCACACTACAGTCTTTCACGACAAATAGTTCAATTCATGTTTAGACTGTGAACCATCATTTGTATTTTACAAGGAACCGATAATATGATCTTAATGTTCCAGACCTGAAACCATATTATCCATAATGTAAAATAAAGGAATAATGTTCACATAAATAATTAACATCCACTTAACTAATAACACAAAACTTATTAAAAATGGAATTATTAAATAACACAATGCCGCCCACCAACTGCAGGCGTCGCCGAGGAGTTGCGGGCATCGAGTGTTCAATGCGTGTCAGGTTTGCGTGGGTGACGCCTTGTCGTTTTGCGCGCCTATGTCACTGAGTATGGGATATGCATCGTCGGGTGCGCCTGGGATGCATGCGTGCCTGCGCCGCCTGGGAACAAGGATTACGAGAGTTGCACCCCTCCTTCGTCGGTGGTCCTGCCTTCGTGCGGTGGTCGTCGATGATGGTGATCGTTGCTGATGGTGGTTGATCGCGAGTGATAAATATATTTCTGCCTGGATAGCAAAATCTATTACCTTCGAATTTCTATAGTTACACCCTTTTCGATTTGTCGTGGTGGACAACTAATCATAACTCCCTAATCCTACAAAATTATTCTCTCTTCCTTAAGAAATCGGTTTGGTCGATTTCTTGCTCAAAAAGACAAGTAGCTCTCGTGAATTGCTGTGAGAAGAGACTAAGGACTTAGTGTATTTACAGGCTACAATAGAGATATTAAGGTTAAATTTCTCATTATTTTAATTGTAAATAATCTAACATTTATGGCCAAGATGAATGATTGAAGTGGGAATGGGCCAACGAAAAACATGAAGCTTATTTCGTTATTCACATAATCTCAATTAATGTTTGTTTTTCTCCCCCTCCCAAGTATGGGTGATTTATTTTAAAAAAAAATTGAAAAATAAGTGGACAAAAAAAAAAAAAAAAAAAAAAAAAA